AAAATAAATAAGAATAGTAGTTAAAACAAAGGTTGAAAAATAATAAGAAATGTAGTGAAAACAAAAGGTTAAAAAATAAATAAGAATAGTAGTGAAAACAAAGGTTGAAAAATAATAGAATGTGTGAAAACAAAGGTTAAAAATAATAGAATGTGTTAAAACAAAGGTTGAAAAATAATAGAATGTGTGAAAACAAAGGTTAAAAAATAATAGAATGTGTGAAAACAAAGGTTAAAAATAATAGAATGTGTGAAAACAAAGATTAGAAAATAATAGAATGTGTGAAAATAAACGAGAAATAAAATGATATGTAAAGAAAGTAAAATTTGATTATTGAAAAGTTTGTTTGTTTTTTGCCTTGCTAGGCACAAAGCTACACGAGGGGCTATCTGTGATCTGCCCACGATTGGTATGAAACAGCCTGGTTAAAAAGAAAATTATTAGCTTAGATAAATTATGCTCTTATTCGAACAAATTCGCAATGAAATGAATTGGCAAATATATATTTGATAGAGTATCAACAATAAGGTTGGTTGGTTGTTGTTGATAAGTGCACACCTACACAATAGATCATCTATGCTCTGCCCAAATGGGGCATCTAAACCCGATTTTTAGGGTTGTAAGCTTGGAAGAGGTATCGCTGAGACACTGGGGGCCAATAGAAAAGAGTAAATTAAAACGTCTGTCTGCTATCAAGCAAATTACTCAGAATTCCGATCTTTAAAGCATTGTATAAATACTAAGCTTAGTATAAAACTATCGTCGTATAAATTAGCATTACAAAGTTAGCTACTTTAATTGTTTTAAGCAGTAAACTCTCTAATGTTTTGAATTAATGAACAAGTTTCTCTGAAAGCAATTAAAGCAAAACAAATAACCCTAAAATGGAACTGACTGAGCAGACAAAGCTGAAAACAGATACCGAGAGAGAGAATAGAACTTACAGAGAATGCTGGAAAATAAGACCATATACCAGTGCCGGACAAAGGTTGGGGGAAGCCCCCTTACCTATGCTTATTTTTACTAATCAAATTTTATTGAAACGAACGTAAGTTTTACAAAAATATGTTTAACAAATTTACGAAATTTATTTCGATTTTATGTGTCTAATATGAAATCGAGTATGCCGAAAAAATATCATTGGTTAACATAAGTTAGCAAACGATTGAAACGTGTTTAAAATCAAATCTTTAATACAGTAAGAACGCTCTGCCTCACATACGGGGACATCCATTGATAGAAAGATGCAAACAGAGATGTACACGTTAGGGAACACACTCGCTACCACATCTTTATACACACTCGCCACCATCACTTTGGGAGGTGTTTGGTCTTCTTTACAGTGAATGGTACACTCCTTGGAGCACTCATCCTTACATTTGTTTAGAATTTAGACTATTGATAGGAAGCTTTCGGAATTGCTCGAACTTGTCATAGGAATCAGGATGCAAATCTGCAGGATACTGGAGTAGTAAACGAAGTACGTGTAATTCGGCCAGTGGCGGATACTGGAGTAGCAAACGAGGTACGTGTAATTCGGCCAGTGGCGGATACTGGAGTAGCAAACGAAGTACGTGTAATTCGGCCAGTGGCTGATACTGGAGTAGCAAACGAAGTACGTGTAATTCGGCCAGTGGCGGATACTGGAGTAGCAAACGAGGTACGTGTAATTCGGCCAGTGGCTGGTACTGGAGTAGCAAACGAAGTACTTGTAATTCGGCCAGTAGCTGATACTGGAGTAGCAAACAAAGTACGTGTAATTCGGCCAGTGGCTGATACTGGAGTAGCAAACGAGGTACGTGTAATTCGGCCAGTAGCTGATACTGGAGTAGCAAACGAGGTACTTGTAATTCGGCCAGTAGTTGATACTGGAGTAGCAAACGAAGTACGTGTAATTCGGCCAGTGGCTCTTCCGATGCAAATAACGACAGACAATGAAATGTCTTTTGAAGTTTAGCATATTCCCCATGTCGATGTTCCAGTTGCTTTTTTATGTGTGTTTATGATTGGCAAATAGCAGCTGCCATTAGTACAACCAGTGTCGTCATTCATTGTTTTGTCGTCTGATGCTGTACTCCTGAGACACAACGTCCATCTTCTGCTTAGCGGAGTCTTCAAACTCTGTGGACTTATCAATGTCAAGACTCAGGTGTGATACTGTAACGAATTGATTATTATGTATTTATTTTTAATATGAATGTTGTTTGGGTTTAATATACGGCATTTGAGCAGGAGAAGTTATAAATTTCGAACGTCAGTGAATTCCCATCAAACGTTAGTATCTTTCCGAGAATATTACTAATCTTTCATCGGACATCAGTGATTTTATGAAAATATTATCTTACTTCAACGGTCCAGCAATTCAGTGCCTGACAGAGCTAGTTAGCTCCCCGCCAAATTTTATATATATGTACAACTCACTGGATGTCAAGGAGACTCTGAACTAAGAACACGGTTTTAGGCTATTTGTAAGTTAATGAAATTTCTGTTTATGAAACTTTGTAACAATTAATCATAATGGTTGCTATTGTAAATTATAGTGCTGTATATATATAAATATATATATTAAAACTTATTTGTGTCAAAACCAAAAACGGTGTGAATCAATCTTGTTGGCGAATAGCGTAAATCAAATAAAATACCGGCATATTTCTAAACCTAAATCCAAGATACGTCTCAACTATTAAAAGTTCAATTATTTAACGCGGCCTTGGATTATTTCAAATTCTCAATACGTAATATAACAGATACTTTCCACCAACTTGGCCCATTCTTTTTAATGTGCAGCGAGTACTTTTACAACGTTGAACCAGTCGCTGAAGCCTTCATTTGCAAGACCAGAATTTCCACACTTGAGAATCCTACAGAAAAAGCCGAAAACTTTTCCTGTTGATTGTGAATAAAGTAACAATTCACGATTAATTTTCTCGCCACTTGAAAAATTGGTAGTAAGGTGTGATCTGATGAAGTAACGGTTGCCAGACCCAGAACCACCCCCCGTTTTGAGATGTCCGATATACAAGACTATTTAGTGTAAGAGTTATTATCTATTTCATTTAGTGATCTAAGATTTAATGATTATTTAGATTTCATAACAAAGTGCTAAAAGTAATTATTTTAAAGGCGATAGTTATGACAAATTTCGATGGGTAAATCGGTAAGTGTCGTGCGTTTTGTGTGTGAAGTTCAATTGTTGTGAATTGGCGTCACATTACTCGAACCTTCTGTATTTTTCTCGTTGCTTTAAGTGAGTATTGTTACATCATAGTGTCTCGCAGTTTGTAGAAAGTTCTAGGCTTCAGTTGAGCAATGTATATATATATATATATATGCATAGGCGACCAAGTGAAAGCAAGTTAAGGTAAGTCAGAAAACGTTAAGTTAGTGAAAGTGAAGTTAGAGTGTGTGATTGTTAGTTTAGAAGTAACGGGCGATATTTTAAAGTGAGTTTCACAGTTTAACTGAGATAAGGAGAATAATTTCTCAAAGGGTGTTTTAAAGTAAGAGAACTCGTCTGTGTGGATTTTGAAAAAGGAGACTAAATAAGTTCTGGATAAAACTGCGGTAATTCGTTGGGGTAATGTAATTGAATCTATCACAGATTGTATAGTAAGAAACAGAATAGAGAAAAATAATTCGTCTTGTTAAATGGATTCTAAAATAATTGAATCAGCCTGTGTGGACTTTTGACAAGAAAGGAAAATTATTTAGAGTTTTAGATACAACTTTAATATCCTATAGTGTAAAGAATTTTAGTACATACATTTGACTTGTTTTGAATATATTATTTTAAAACAAGTGGCTTGTGTGCTGTCCATTTATTGTTTGAATTTATTGCCAACAAGTCACAGACACCTACTGTAATGAAACCGGCCCCTACATACATAGAAATTTTGACATAAGGTTTCTAGTGAGGCTGCTCCGTTCTGACATCTCTCAGATCCATTTGAAATCCAATAGTCCACATCTTAATCCATAAATACACTGGTGTTCATTATTACTGACAGATATGTCCGTTATAAACCAATGCAGAATATTTCATATGGCATTGTTTTTTGATCTTCCTAATACTACCAAAGATGTCACTGGATACTGATTTTTTTTCATATCCATTTAAAGACATCTTTATAAGTCAGTGACGGACGCTGATTGGCTGTGATAGACATCGAAAATATATAATATGATATAAACATTACATATGTGAATGGTGATGCTTTAACAGAGAGTGTTTTAATTACAATATATGGATGCCTATAGTTTTTAACCCATAATTAGAGGGAGCCCTTAAATCAGGGGGACCCTAAGCTATAGCGTAGTTTGCGTATGCCTTAATTCGGCACTGCCTTAGACTGCCCTTTAGAATCCTATTTTAATTCTCATCGTTAGTGAATTTATTTGTTTGTCAATGATCTCCTTTCACGGATTTGGAGCTAGCAAGAAGACACAGGGTGATTCAAAGATGCCCTTATTTTTAGGGCGTAGCCTCCCTATGAAGGGGGCTAAAATTCTCCTGGAAGTTTACTCTCCTATTATAATGATCTTAAGGCAGGTTTTCAGGGTCGCTGAGCCTGAATCTGACATCAGATATTGTGTTCCTAGCCTCATCTGTGATTCTGGGGGCAACATATTTGAAACTGTGTTCTTTCCCCCATTCACAAAGTAGCGGGACCAGCTTTAGCATACGTGATCATAAACCATGGGCTGGTGTCCTAACGAGAATTTTGTTCGAACATAGCCTCCTTTTGGCTAGCTATAGAAGTAATTGGGGATAATAAAGGATCTAGAATGATACTTGTGGTATCCATGAATCATGGGGGAGGTGGGGTGAACTCCAAAACGAAGCTCGAGTAGTTTGCTAGTCTACTAGAAAACTCCTTAATGTAAATTTTCATTCGAAGAAGTAGCCTATGAATTTCTAATTCAACCCCTAGATGTATAAATCTTCTCGGAAATAAGTCTCACGTGGATTTACATTTTATGAATTCTTTCTATTCCTTACATCTTACTGCTGTAATCCACTCGCAACAGTATTACAAAGATTAAAGAAATGAAATCCATTTGTTTCAAGGTTTAACTCTTACCAGTTTAGTTCTTTCATAAATGTTCTCTAGGGGGGCAATGAGTAAAAAGATCTAATAAAAATAATAAAGTCATGTGCGACTTTCGTGGTAGTTAAGCAGAACTGGCATTATTCATATAGAGTCGCGCGGCTCTCTTCGTGAACGAGTCTATAATTTTGCAAAATATAGTTTTGATAAGCCACAGAATAAAAATGGAAGTTTAGACGCAAAACATTAATGTGATGTTTTGTATGTACAGCTTTTGACTTGCAGTGTATTTAAGGCTCATTACAAAAAATATAAATAGAGGTTTAAAGTATACTTAAATTGGACTCAAATGTACACTGTGCACGTGCATGTCACGTGATACGTATCGCGGAAACCCGATCTACGTTCAGTATACGAGTTGAACAATTTCCACCATTAAGAAATGTCAATAACAATTCTAAACAACCGATAACTTTGGAAAGTAGTCTGAAGCATTTATACGGTGTGCTGAATGAACATGCGTATGTAATGTTCAGCATGGTAACTCGACTTTCTTCAATCGGAAATAATCTGACAGTAATACCTCGATCTTTATACTGTGTTCTGAATTACTAGATGTATGCAATTTGAAGCATCTTAATTTACTCGACTATCTTCAATCTGAAATAATCTGACAGTAAAATCTTCATCTTTATATTGTGTTCTAAATTAAAATGTATATGTAATAATCAGCATGATGACTCGACTTTCTTCTATCTGAAAGAATCTAAGAGTAATACTTTCATTTTATAATGTATCCTGAATAAACATGTGTATGTAATGTTAAGCCAAGTTGCTAAAAGATTAGGGTTTATCACACCGAAAAGTAATCCATGATTAATGTTGTAATTGGGGAAGAACTAACTTTACAAAGTTGAGAGATTCGGTTCATGAGGAACGTTTTGCTAACGGTTTCTGCAAAGCAACATCAAGTATTCGCATGTGTAAATAAGTAAACAAAAACAAACACAGATTTCGTCGTATTTGCCCTAGTTTTCAACTGTAGTTGTCAGCTAAACTGTCATATGCATCAACTTTGAATGATATTGTTTATGATAGTGGATAGGTGGAGATATAGATTTTCTTTGTTTCACCTGATACGATCAGTATTTTTGTAAAACAAAACTCTCGTTAATAACTGTATATTCGTCAATAAGAAGAATTTTTCACGTAACAAATAAACTAAGGTGTGCATGATATAAAATCGAAATATCCTGAATATGTTTTTAAGTTTTCATGTTGAAATATTAAATCGCATTCACACCAAACTATTGCTGCAGACAGTAAAACTTCTATACTAAAAACATCATATTTGTATAAGGTGAATTAATCACTGTACATCATCAAGTACCTTACGCGTGTTTTTAACACTTGTACGTCGTACAAAAATCTACTTTAGATTTGGTTAATAAAACATACAGTTTAATTAATCAAAGCTACAATATTCGTGTTTAAATTACAGTTTAATTAATTAAAGCTACAATACTCGTGTTTAAAACTACAGTTCAAGTAATTAAAGCTACAATACTCGTGTTTAAAACTACAGTTCAAGTAATTAAAGCTACAATATTCGTGTTTAAAACTACATTTCAAGTAATTAAAGCTACAATATTCGTGTTTAAATTACAGTTTAATTAATTAAAGCTACAATACTCGTGTTTAAAACTACAGTTCAAGTTATTAAAGCTACAATACAGCTATTTAAAGCCATAGTTCAAGGAACTAAAGTTACAATACAGCTGTTTAAAGCTACAGTTCAAGTTATTAAAGCTACAAGTCACGTATTTAAAGCTTTAATATAGCTGTAAGCTACAGTTCAATGAACTAAGACTACAATGCTCATATTTTAAGCTACAGCGTATGGTTAAAG